GTAAGAGGGTCCGAATAATTGTCCGAGTTTTCAAACCCTAATATATAAGAATTGCAAGTAAACACCATAATTACATATCTGCCATCATGCAAGAAGGTCCGAATAAGTGTCTGAGTGTTTCAACCCTAATGCATGAGAAATGACAAATAAACGCTATAATTACGTATCTGCTGGCACAAAATATCTCCATAAAGTGGATGAACAGTGGTCGGCTGCCCAAAAATGCCATTTCGGCAAAAAACAGTGCCGACCGGCAACAAACTATGCCGACCGGCAATAAAATGTGCCGACCGGCAAACAAAAGTGCCGATAGCAGCAAAAAACCAGCTGGTGGCCTCTAGCCACTGCCGGTGGGGTGTGGGGATGGTCCACAAGCCCTACCCTGCCTCTCAAAGGCAAGACGCAAGTGTTTGGTGCAAAACCAGACACTAAACGGTTGAGTTCGGAGATCCTGAGGTAGGGCGCGCGAGCCGAGACCTCCGGGAACTCCAAACGAACACAAACAAGGATAATCACCAAGTATTCAAACGGTGACGTCCAAGTCTTGAGGACGGTCAAAAATGGGGTGTCTACAGAATCTCACCAAGAGTTAGACGGAATTTGTCCATGATGGACCATGTTCAGCCGAGCGGTAGCTCTTTGCGAATCGGCCAGCTCGATTGGGCTGACATTCAGGTTTATTTGTCAAGGCCGGGCAAGCAGCGCAGTCCTAGAGGAAGATTATGATGCCGCACTAGACACATCTCGGTAAGAAGTACTACGTGCCATGATTGGATTGCAAGAAAAAGATTCCGCCGTCCGTATGTGTCAATACCATTAGATGGTTTTACCATTTGGTGTTTGGCAGTATTTGTACTTACACGTAAATTATCACATTTTTTAGACTAATGCCTTAGACCCCTAGTGGGGATGACCCCCACCACCCCCACTGTTTTTGATTGGTCCATTTTTTTTTTTTTTTTTTTGCCTTCCACTTGTTGCCCCCCATGTGGAGCTGGGGTTGCTGGGGTTACCTCCCACTAGGGCGCCCCAGCACGGTTGTTATTTTTATATATATATTTTTATATAAAACTAAAAAGTTACTAAAATAATTTATTTTAAATGAAACCCAAAATAAACTTCCTCTACATATCACAACAAGAAGCTGAGTCAAAATAGAACACGATGAACCAAACAAGAATTCGAGCCCAAACAATTGTCGATTGTTTAGATTTGCTTATTTTAGTACTTCCTCAGTCTCAAAATGTTAATCTTTTTTAAAAAAATTAATTTTTTTTAATAGTACAATTATTACACTTAAAAAAATTAAATTTTCAAAACTATCATTTGATAGTACATTTTTTAAGAAATATCAATTGTCATAATTGTATTTCTTGTGTTATTAATGAATTTAAAAGAATGACAAAATAAAAAATTCATATTATTTTAATTCTTGATTTTTGAAAATTGACTAATATTTCAGAATAACGAAAAATAAATAAGAAACTAATATTTCAGAATGAAAGAAGTATATTTTTAAGATTTTTATAAAAATATATATAAAATATAAAAATCTTATATGACCAAAATAAATATACTTTTCAAATAAATATACTTATTATTTGTCTATCTAAAAAAAATAAAATTATCCCAAATAACACCCAACTAAAATTCCCCAAACTACTTATAAATATCTAAGACCCTGCCCCTGCTTTGTACTCACATCACATATCCGCTGCTTGATTTTTAGTCTTTGTTGACCTTCTCTCTCTCTCTCTCTCTCTCTCTCTCTCCCTCTAGAGTGGTATAAGTTTGCTCTCTCTGAAGAAATCTTCAGAATTTGTGATTTGTCAATAAAAATGGCAAGGACGCTCATGAATGCGGTCCAGTATGACTCTTATGGGGGAGGAGTTGCTGGTTTGAAGGTAACTACTTATGTTTTGTTTGCTTTCTTTTCTTTTCATTTCCTTTTTGTTTTGTTTTGAGGGATAATTATTTAGAAATCTCATAATAATATAGGCGCGTGTTATTTTTATAGTATCGTGAGTAAGTGAGATATTATATTTGCAAATTATGATTAGTTAAGAGTATAGATTCGTGTATCCGAGAATAATGTATAATTTTGTTTTGACTCTTTTTGCCTTTAATTTGAGTTTTTAGTATTTTTTTCATGTAATTATTCAATTCAACAACTTTCGAATGAGGTGGGCTATATACAATTGACTGTAATCTGTCATTTGTGTTCTATATAAGACCATCTCTAATTTTACGAGATCTTTTATTAAATTTAAATTTGATGAAAAATTAATGAAAATGTTGTTTCATCTTTTTTCATTAGTTTGATAACGCGGTACCTTTTTCATCAAATCAAGGGCGTGTTTAGTTTTTCATCTATTTTGTAGGTGATCGTTGGACCGGACATTTGTCCGGATATCCTCCCGAACAACCGGTTTTGGAATGAATTTGATGAAAATTTTACACTAGCCAGTCAACGTATTATTTGATGAAAATTAAAAATCTAACGTTGAACTATTTTGTATCAGATTAAGTTTTAACTCAAATCCTTACTCAAATTTGATTAAAAAAAGGCGATGGGAGGCTCCAAGGGAACAAATTTCATTACAAGGAGTTTTTATTTTTGTTTTTTTATATGCCCTTGATTTGGTTTCTTTTTCAGGATTACTTTTCTGAATTTTTTTTTTTAAAAAAAACTAAAATCTAATGTGATGAAATAAAATCAAAAACATTCAAAGGTCTTATATTTTTTGGGAGGAAAAATATTTTTTTTATCATTATTTTTGTCAAATTAGTTTTTATTAATTTTACCCAAAACAAAATAAAAAATAAATAAATAATCAAACTGAAAATCAAATCAAACAAACCTGACTTTTATAATTGTACATATATATGTATATATTCTCTCTCTCTCTCTCTCTCTGTTCTTTTGACTGCCACCTGTGGGGTTTATTTTCACTGAAGACATAAATACAATATGAAATCAATACACTGATGTTCTATCATCTGTGAATTAGTGTTTTATAAACTTCAACGGAACAATTTGGTTGAATAAATGTGAACATATGTGGATATTGGGATTTTTGCTAAAATTGATATTACACCATTTCAATTGGTTTTAAGTTGCGTTCGATGCATCTTGCAGCATGTCGAAATTCCTGTTCCTGCTCTGAAAAAGGGTGAGATTTTGCTAAAACTGGAAGCAGCAAGCTTAAATCCAGTTGATTGGAAAATTCAAGAAGGCCTCATGCCTCCTAATTTAATTCCTCGCAAACTTCCTTTCATACCTGGTAACTTCATTGATGTCTAGTCTAAATCTACACCTCAATTATTGGTTAGAGTTCTTTTCTTTTATGACCTTGTATGTTTCTGTACCCATCTTTTGTTTTCCTAGCTGAACTATGTCTTGCCTCAATTTTAATGCTGGATATCTGTTTATTTTATTGTATCTGAGGCTTTTTGTCCTTCACTCTTGCAGATCAAAGAATTTGTTTCTGTGTTTTTAGAATTCTTTAGAATGCTTTTTTCCCCTCAAATAGACCCTCATTGTGGCATTAATTCTTAGCTAATATGATCAATGTAAGGGCATGTTTTTCATGGAGAATCTGATTTCTTCATTGTGACCTCACTGACGGAACCTGGATGTGGCATGATGTTATTTGAATATGTCTTTAAACTAGAATGGCCCAGCAATATTTTATACAAACTTAGCTCTTATGAATAAGAACTTTTATATAATATGAGCAACCATTGGTAGAGAAACATTTGTATGCCCTTGATTGTTAAGTTTAGGTAAATTAAATTGACATAAAGTATGTTCTAAGCAGGGAGGTGAGTTTAAATTGATCTTCGCAGTATTTTCAGGCTAACATTCGAGCCAGCTCTATTAAACTATTATAACATATATTTTCCTCAGAATATGTATGTGTACCACATGATTTTATTTGATTCACCACATGCTTGTCCTCTTGGCATCACCACAATCGAGGGAAATTTCTAGAAAAAAAAATGAATAAGGAAAACCAATGGAGTTTGTAACTGGAATGAAATAACAAAAATTTCTAGAATTGTTACAAATTCAGTAGTTCACAAATAATCTGAAAGGTCTCTTTTGTTTAATACCCATGTCATTTGTGAATGATTCATGATCCATTTAATTCTATATGGATTTGAAAACTTCCTTTTTCCCTGAGTTAACAGTGTTTACTTGACTGCTATGTGTCTTTTTCTTGCATTTTATGTAACTTAATACCTCAAGTATCGTGCCAATATATTATTTATAGCCTAGGGTATTTATAATGTAAAACTTTGAAGAATTCAAGATTACTTTCTAGGCTGAATTTTTCCCCCTTTTATGGTTGGTGCAGCATCTGATATAGCAGGAGAAGTAGTGGAGGTTGGGACTGGAGTCACAAAATTTAAAGTTGGTGACAAAGTTGTATCCTATCTTGGTTTTACTGTAAGTGTCATTTATATCAGGTTGTGCTCACCTTTTTATGTAGTATTTATTATGTGTCTCTTCACAGTTGGCTAAAGCCGCATAGTCAAACTTGTTGTTAAAAAGTTTTGGAGGATCACAACTTGTTTTACGAGGAGATCATGTCACCATTAAATAAATGAGTGGTGTTACACACACCAATTTGTATAACAATTAGTATATTAATATATATTATGATAGTATCACTTCAAAATTATAACCCCATCGATTATACAAATTATAAATAGTTAAAACCTCTAAAATTATATTATATTATCCGTTAATACACTAATTAATATATCAATTGATATATATATATATATATTGTATTATTCTAAATAAATACTATCGTCATCTCATAAGTCATTTTTGAGGCCCACCTAGGTTGAGGCAGTTTGCCTTGAAGCTTTGAACTTTAATATCATGTACTTACCCAAAAACAAGGCCCGAGTCTTATTGGGCAATTGGCTTATGAGCCTCGGGTTCTTAATAGTTTCTTTTTATTTTTCTCACCATCTTTATGCTTTAACCATGTGGTAACTTGATTATAAAATTTCTCTTGTTTCTTGATTGTCTAGATTCTGTCCCTTGTTGGGCATAGGGTTCCCTGCCTTGCTTTTTTGCCTCTGAAAACACTGTATGCCTTCCAGAAGGAAATTATACTCAATTGAAGGACATTTTAGAAACATTTTCCATATGGTATGGCTTGTTTGGGAAGTGAATTTTTAATTTTTTTAGATTAAAATTCATAAAAAGATAAAATAGGCTAAAATAAACAATAAGACAAAACGTCACATTAAACTTATAATTATTTCACTTTTTATTTCACAAATATCACATTCCAATTACAAAAAATCTAATCACCTTTCCAAATATAAAAATTTTAGCCTACTAAAATAATTAAAAACTACAATGATTTACTGAAATAGGCAACTTTCCAGATGAGGCCATAATATGGATAGCAAACCTTCAATGAAATAGGCAACTTTCCAGATGAGGCCATAATATGGATAGCAAACCTTCAACGACCTAAACGGGCCCAAAGTCTTTAGGTTCTCTTAACTTCAACACGGTATATAATCATAAAATTCTGTTACTTTTACCCCTCCAAAAGGGAGTCATTTTGTAGTTAAGGGGTCTAAATTTACGGTTTTGAAGTTGATTGCATTAATACTATTTTTGGGAATTTATGAGAGAAAAGAAAAGAAAGGATTACTTAAGTTATAAGAGAAAAGAACAGAAAAGAAAATAAAAGAAATAATTGCGATTTCTCTTCTTCTTGTTTGAATAAGTAAGAAATAAAAGAAAAGAAATGATTATTATTTTTTTTCTTTTTGTTTGATTAGATTTCATTAAGAGAAAAGAAAAGAAATTAAATTATTTTATGTTATATTACCAAAATAACCTATTTATATGTTCAATCATTTTATTTCTTTTATTTTTACAGGAACAAAATTGGTATTATGAAAATATAAGAATCTGTTGGTTTCTGTTCTCTTCCAATCTCTTCACTTTTGGGATGATTGAAAATGAAAATTATAAAAGAAATGAGTTTCTCACAATTTTTCTATATTTTTTCCAATTTCTCTCTAATTAGGTTATCTAGACAAGTAAAAGAGATACATATCTCTCTATTTTTTTTCTTTGTCTCCAAATCACTCAATCCAAATATAGGGTAAAGTAAAGCTTTGAAGTTTATTGCCTTAAAGGGATATTTCCATTTAATTGATCCTATTTTTTAGGTTGTTTTCCTTCATTATTTTGGCATTGTCTTCCTCTTGGTCTCCTGTATATACTGAAGAGAGAAAACTAAGATTTGATATGAAAATATCCCTTAGGGTTTAAGGGGTTAATTCCCAGCATTTTTGTTTCTGATTGTTCATGGAACTATTCACAGAGTGGAGGTGGACTAGCTGAGTTTGCTGTGGCTAGTGAGACAATGACAGTTCCAAGGCCACCTGAGGTATCAGCAGCAGAAGCCGCGGGCTTACCTATCGCTGCTCTTACAGCTCACCAGGCCCTTACCCAACCGGCAGGGGTCAAGCTCGACGGAACTGGCCCCAAAAAAAATATTCTGATCACGGCTGCATCTGGCGGTGTCGGACACTACGCAGTTCAACTTGCAAAGCTTGGAAATACGCACGTGACGGCCACTTGTGGAGCTCGCAACCTCAATTTCGTGAAGAGCTTAGGTGCCGACGAGATTATTGACTACAAAACAGCCGAGGGACAAGCTCTGAAGAGCCCATCGGACAAGAAATATGACGTTGTCGTCCAGTGTGCCACGGGCTTTCCTTGGTCGACTTTCGAGCCTTGTCTGAGCGAAAACGGGATGGTAATCGATTTTGAAAATCTAAGTGATTCGTGATTAGATCAAGATTAAAATATTCCAAATCCCAAAAATCCAAAACACACAATCTAAATCAACAAGCACTTACGAAAGAGATTTAGATTGTTTGTTTTGTCAGATTAAATAATAAATCGACACAAAAGATTTTTACGTGGAAAAAACCACAATTGGACACCTCCAATCTGTGATTAAAAAAACCACGGGCGAAACGCCATAAAACAATCCACTACTGAAGTAAAAAGATTACAAAGATATCTTACAAATTACCCAACTTAGTCAATCTGTCTCCGAATCTTCTGTAACTCTTTTTCACGACTTCATCTCGGAACTGATCAATCTTGAAGTTGATTCCACAACCTCACCCACATATAGAATCAAACACCTTTCGAAACTATATGCTAGAATCTTCGGAATCCACCGAAGAGAACTCTCTCTTGAATATAAAGAAACCAACTCCTTGATGTATGTATTTTAGATCCTGAGTGAAGAACTCTTCTCAAGACATCAAGAAAAACTCTCAAAAATCTCCCTAGAAGACTTTAAACTTAACCCTAGTTTGTTTTGATCAGATCTAGGAAAACGTATCCAACAAAACAACGTTAGCAGCTTTAAATAAGAATCTGCAACCGCGATCTCCGCTCGAGCTCAACATAGCCCGCTCGAGCGGACTGAACAAAAACTGCATACGAAGAAACAGAGCTGCGCTCGAGCGTAGGAGTTTCCGCTCGAGCGTCAAATCATACCTTCCAGAATCTGTGCTTGCCCTGTCAAACTACTGTGACCTGCTAATCTACGCTCGAGCTCAGGAGTCTCCGCTCGAGCGGACAGTACAAAAACAGAAAAACAGAAAAACATAGTTTTTTGAACTAACACAAGATTTTGTCTCCGGATTTGACAACACAGGGACCTAACAGATTTGACTCCCAGTCCGAGTGCCATGATGAACTTTGAAATGCAGAAACTCACGTTCTCTAAGAAGCAGCTTGTGCCAATGTATTGCGTACCCACAGTTGAGAACCTTGAGTATGTCGTGAAGTTGTTGAAGGAAGGGAAGCTTAAGACAGTGATAGACTCAAAGTATCCTGTGAGTAAGGCTGAAGAAGCTTGGGCTAAGATCATGGATGGTCATGCTACAGGGAAAATCATAGTGGAGTTCTAAGATATAATATATGTAATTAGTTTGGTTGTTTTGTTTTTGTTTATGTCATTATAGAAGGGGGTATGAATGTGATCTATGTTTTATACATGAATGAATGTGTTGTGTACTGCATTAAGTTAGTTAAGGTATTTGATGGTGTGTGTTTTCTGCTAACTTTTTGTGTTGCTCCATCTATCTATACTTGGCAATAATGGTGAGAATTTAAATTTTATTTATATAAATTGAATTTCAATCTGATCACAAAATGATGTGTGTATATTGAGTGTTGTAAAATTTTAAAAAACAAAAATAAAAAGAATATATTGTAACTTTTAATTCCTAAGAAGTCGTAATATTTTATTTTATATAATAATAAAGATACAGAAGTATAAATATTGACTTAAACCCTCTTCCTCTTCACTTATTTTGCTATGGATAGGAGGATCCATATTCAAAATATTCATTTATTTAGTATTATAATTAGATGGCCCTATTTTTTTCAAGATAAATATTTTTTATATTCCTTAATTAAGTAATTATTAAAATTCGATCAATTAAAATTTTTATAATATTAATCTACTGGACTAATCTTAAAAATCAACCTAATGATTGTGTTGCAAATTATGGGTTCAAGATCACTGGGTTAAGATTGTGTAGTAGATTTTAGGTTCAACTCGAGGATGACAAATGATCTATTCGATTTGTTAGATTTAATGTATAAAGAGAGAAATACAGAGAATAATGTATCTATTGATGTATTATTGATTGATTAATATTGATTGTATTGTATGTACATTATATAGGAGATGTAAAGTGGAGATGCAGTGGTGGAGTAGGTGAAGTGGAGGTGGTAGTGGTGTAGTGGGTTAGGTTTAGTGGAGTAGGTGAGGTGGTAGTGGTGTAGTGGGTTAGATTTAGTGGAGTAGGTTTAACACGATTAAACAGAGGCCATGCGTTCTATTTGAAAATGTCTGCCTTACCTCCTTTCTCAGAGGAATATCTCTTGGCAGATAAATTTTAGTACTCCAATTTCCAATTTGATAGGGATCGTCATCACCCTTATGTCTTTTTAAAATATTTGTCGTAGTTCAACTTTTGAATCAACTAACTCCTAAGTAGTGTTTTTGAGCTTTGAGAATTTACATTTAGAAAAAAAAAAAAAAAAAAAAAAAAAAAAATAAAAAATAAAAAAACTACATACAACCTGCAGCTCGTGAAACAAGAAGCAGCTTGTGCCACTGTATTGTGTACCCGCAGTTGAGAACCTTGAGTATGTTGTGAAGTTGGTGAAGGAACGGAAGCTTAAGACAGTGATAGACTCAAAGTATCCGGTGAGTAAGGCTGAAGAAGCTTGGGCTAAGATCATGGATGGTCATGCTACATGGTAAATCATAGTGGAGTTCTAAGATATCATAATATATGTAATTAGTTTGGTTGTTTTGTTTTTTAATAAACAAAAATGTTAAAAATTTTAAAAATTCTATTAAAATTTTTACTAAATGTCTTACATGATTGTGAGACTTATACAAAAATTTTATCAAAATTTCTACTAAATGTCTTACATGAGTGACACAAAGTAAATCCTACACCCATATAAAACATTTAATAAAATTTTTAAAATCTGTAACCTTACTCGTAAATAAATGATTCAATGACCTTCATTAAATTTAGGGGTGGGCGCGGGTCGGTTGCGGCCACGAAACCTTCAATCTGCCATCCGTCCGCCAGATTGGCGGATTGGAAAAAATCAATCCGCATCCGTCCGCCAATCCGGCGGATGTGGATTGAGCGGATTGGCCGTTTGGCGGATGGATGCGAATCGGTTTGGCGGTTTGAAATTTTATAAATTTTTAACATAGCTCAATTTGTGCACTTCCCCCCCCAAAAAAAAGAAAAAATATTACAGTCAATGACTTAAAAAAGTATTACAATTACTGCATGCCTCATCCAATGAAAGAAAGTTTGAAACTTTAGAATATCACAATCACTGCATGCCTCATTCATATATTACAATCACAGCATGCCTCATCCACATAAAATATTACAATCTGTGGTTCTTAAAATATAAAAACAATTCAAACCACCAAAACCATAAATAGAGCAATAGTAGAGATTATATGTCTCTGTATTGTTACATTTATATATGTTTTTGAAAATAAAAACCAACCAACATATATCATATTTTCTATTTATTACTTTCAGAGTTAGATTTAAAAATAAAAAAATATAGATAAATAATACGTTTATTTTTTTCAATTCAAAAAATATATTCAAGTTGAAAACTTGTTTTCAACAGAATATTTGAACTCTTTTTCAATTGAAAACACAAACAAAATATTTAAACAAATTGAAAACACAAAGTTTTATAAATTACTAAGGGTGCTCGCGGTTTGGCGGTTCGGTTGCGGCCAAAGGAACCTTAAATCCGCCATCCGTCCACCAAATTAGCAGATTAGAGAAAATCAATTTGCAACCGTCCGTTCGTCATCACGCATCCGTCCAAAATGCGACGGATCGATTCGGTTCGATCGGTTTTAACGGATCGATATATCCGCTGCTCACCCATAATTAAATTTGCCAAACTTGCCTATAATGTTAAATTAGTCAATAGCCCACTGAGGCCTATCAATTGGGCTGGGCTGAGGGTTGATCAACCTCAGTTCAATTAAAAATAAATATTTTTCAGTTTGATTACCAAAAAAAAATAATAATAATAATGACGTTAGACATATATATATAATTTTTTAATTGATAAACAAATTATGATGCCATTGATGTTGTCTTTTCAAATAAATGTTTCTCAAGGTATTGTTGCTTTTCTCAAATTAAAACTTAATTAATTTACTAAATCGTGACGTGGAGAAAACTTGAGGACATGATTTAGAGGGTTATTTTCATTGTGAAATGAGGCCATAAGAATTATGTTGGGAAAATTACTTTCAGACAATTATGTTTAGTGAAAGATAAACAGGCCATGAGAATTTGTATCCCTGAAAGAACATGTATTGACTGTTTAGGTCTTTTCATATTTAATATATTTATTATAGCATAACTTTAATAGGGTGCAGATTATTTGTTTGAGTCTATGGGCTCACTAGGGGTCCTAATTTTATAATATAAATCGTTTATTTTTTTTTAGATCACAACGCGTAGATTATTTATATAAAAGAATAGGCCTATTTGCTAACTATAGTTACGTTATTTTATCATTTGTATTCTAAAAAATTAATAGTTTAATTTTTAAATAATATTTATTGTTCTTTCTTTTGTAAAAAAATATCATAAATTAATACAGCTATGGTTATGGGATCAACAACCATCTGTGTTTTCATTTTGTTGAAAGTTCAATTAGTTTGGATGGAAAGAAAAGGAACTCCTATGAGAAGTCAATATATATTACGATTCCACAGCATCATCCTACAATTTTATTTTTACTTTTTTTCAATAATTGAATTATGGAAGTTTTTTGTGAGAACACTCTTTTGGGTCTTCAATGGACCAAGAAATCTACAAAATATAGATATAAATTAGATTTCTCTCTAGTCTTATTGGACTATAGGATCCTTTCGTTGATTCAATATTTTTTTTTTTTCATACTTTAACTAAATTATTTATGTACAAAAATTAGGTTAATTAGATATGAATAGTCCACATAATTATTTCATATTTCTCTTAAAAAACTAAAGGCAAGTGTCATTTAATAAAAAAAAACTGTCTCTTCTTTTAAAGGTGAATATAATCTAATTATATGATTATGATATCCAATCAAATTATTTTTTTATAGAAGTAATTTACTTGATTAGTTTTAAAAAAATTAACCATTCGTAATACCAAAAACTAAGTGCTACAATTGGACCACAAGTCTTTTATTTTGAAATGTGATTAATATCGTTCAAGTATGTGCACATAAGGGTGGATGTCACCGTGTTAAAATTGTTTTAATTTTAATTTAATCCTTTTATTATGTTATATTATTGTGTTGTGTCATTTTTTATTTGTATCTGATTTGTGTTATATTGACAAATCATGTCAAAAAAATTTCAATATTAGTACAAATATTGAATGTATAAAAAATTATGAGCAAATTACATAAATAATCTTTGTAATTTATTTCGTGTCATTTTAGTCCTTGTCATTTCAATTTGCTCAATTTTGTCCCTAAATTTAACGAGATGTGTCAAATTCATCTAATAATTGACGTCCGTTTGAAATTATGGATGAAAAGTCATCATGTGCCTCTCACGTGCTCCCTCAAACAATTACTAAGGGCATATTCGTCTTTTCACTTTAAACCATACATCAATTAAGGGAGCTTTTATTTACACACACAATATACACTTTCTACACATCCCCCCTCACTACACTTTTTACACACTCCCTTCATTAAGTGTGTGTATAAAGGGGGTTTAGTGTGTGTAAATAGAAGCTCCCATCAATTAATTGAGATACTGATTACAATCAATGCTTACACTTTTTACCACGTACAAAATCAATCAATCCATGGCTCATATCTATACTTACACACGAATCCGGATTCACTTACACACACATACAGTCCAAATTTAAAAGAATAGATTACACCAAAACCCAGTTCTCATCAAGAACATCAATGCTTACACTTTCTCTACTGCCTAGCCACATACAAAATCAATCAATCCATTGCTCATATCTATACTTACACACATACATAATCTACATACAGTCCAAATTTAAAAGAATAGATTACACCAAAACCCAATTCTCATCAAGAACATCAGTGGCCTCTGTCGGCACCGAAGTCGGATTCGTCGCCTTCAATTGATTAATCAGCTTCAAAACCTCCACCCTAACCTTCGCCGACGCCCGAAACCCTAAATCGGTGCCATAAACACTATCCATCAAGCAACTCTTCAGTTCCATTAGCTTATCATCATCATCATCATCAATCACTCTAGCTTCTTCCCTAACACTACCGTTATCATTACCAGAGATAAACATAATGTTCTTCACTTCCCCACTCATCTGCATACTTTGGCGGATCAAACTCCGACAACTTCTTTCTTCAGCGGCTCGGCATCGGGCTCGACTCTCTCTCCCCACTCGTCCACAACCCCGACTTGAGCCCCAATAACAGCTTTGCCCCACTCGTCTTCATTTTGGGGCGGATCGGAG